CTCCCCCCCCCCCCCACCCCGCCGCCCAATCGTGACCCTCGTGGGAACACGTGTGTGTTGGATCAGGTGCTGCGTCTCCCGGAGCCATCCCAATGCTCTACTCCCGGCCAGCTGTCAGTAGACTTGCATCTGCTGCGCAGAGCAGAGGCCCTGAACGTTCTCGAAACGGTTCTGCACGCCATCCGACGGAGAGCGGGTGAACATTCGAGGGTCCTCGTCAATCGACCTCGGGCTCCCAAGCAATCCCAACAACTCAAAGAGCATCCCGACGTAGTCGCTGCCGCTGCTGGCCAAACGGAACCATCCTACTCGGGTGCCTCTTACACGCCGCCGGTGGCACAACAAGGAGAGGGTCTGCAACATGATCGTGTCATCCGCGTGCAGAAATTTGCGTCGCTCGAGGTGGTGGTAGGGAGAGGTGCCCACAGCGTGGCCGGTGTTCCCCGTTTGAGACCATGCGTAATGGGTTACCTGGCAGGGAAAGGGTTCCGGGCGGAGGGGGTAGAAGGGGACAGGGGGAAAGGGGTCGTCGTAGTGGGGCTTAGATGAGCTGTGCTCTCCTTATTCCTGAAAGTCGTGCCGTTTCGTACTTGGACTTGATGGAAACTAACGTGTCGGACTTGTTTTGGTGACGTGCGTCGGAATCTTCATCTTGTGAATGTCGGGGGGTACTTGTCGTACGGTCCAAGAAGTCAGTGATGCTGTAGTTGTAGCAGTCTTGGTGAGATTCCAGAACGCCCCTACTCGAGAGCCTCTTGTTTTGTCCTGGGGTGTTTCTTGTTTCCCCTTTGGGGTAACCCAACATCCACTTAATAGGTTTAGTGTAGGATTATTTGCTGAGCGTGTGTTATTACAGTCAAGTGCTTCAATTGGCGTTCCTTGAGTCTGAATTCCTTAACTACCAGGTTTTAAATGGTAGCACTGTAATGCTGTGATTCGACCTGTCTTTCACTTGGAGTAGTTCAGGTCCCCAGTCCCCAGTTCTTGGCACATTTTGACCGATAGTAGAGCGAGATCTTGAAATCAGCAAGTGCTTGATTCCGGCAAGGCATCATCAAATTGCCCTGTCTATTCGACCCCGCTTCTCCTAGCCGAGTGAACGGGTTGGTACGCGAGCTGCTCCTTCTTGTATTCATTGGGCGAATTGCGTTTTCCTTTTGGATGGGTTATTTAAGTTTAGACTAGTGAATCGGCGTTCCCGGCAGGTGAGCTGGTGGTGAATAACAAATTGCTCCTGATGTCATCGCACAAGGGAATTGGTTGTCGTTCAACAGTACCCACAATCGATCTTCGTGAAAGATCAGTACATGGGTTTTTTTCCAAGTACTACCCACAATCGATCTTCTTGAAAGATCAGCGCATGGGTTTTGCATGCAAGCCTATTAGGCCACTTGTTACGCTGTCTCTTTTTGGGCTGTCCCTTTTCTCAAAAAGGGACAACTGACCAAAAACAACTTGTTACGTGGTCTTTTTTTGCGTTTTTGAACCTCCCGAAAAGGGACAGCGAAAAAAGATCACCCCATCCTGTCCCTTTTTGGGCAACTTTGTCCCTTTTCGAGAAAAGGGACAGCCCAAAAAGAGACAGCGTAACAAGTGGCCTTTTATCACGTTGAATAAATTGGCAACTAGTTTAAATTGCTTGTCTGCCACACGCACGTGCGCCATTGTATTAACAATGACCTCGCCCATGATGCTTGCGCATAATGACGATGTTTATCAGACTTCCCTTGGATCAGGTTTCAACGCTCGCATGCTCCACAACAAAAGACCGGTTGAGGTGCTGCTGCTGCTGCTGCTGCTGTACGTTGAATAGGACCGTTCCGCGGACCCCTCGCATCTTCTCAAATTATGTCTGGATCTCTGTCCAACCAAGTTGTGAATTTTCCCGATCTTTCCTCCCCCGAAACACCTTGGTTTTTTGGTTCCTCAACTTCGCACCATCACAATAACGTGTGTACCACTGTAGGAGCGAGTCAGGAAGAATACATTAGTAATTAACTCATGGTGCTTACGCACATGATGGTCGACCAACAAAAGTCTCTGCTGTCTGCTGCTGTTTCTAAACACATGCTTGTTCGATGTTCCCTGCCCTTCCTTTTGGTGGTCAAAATGTATCTGTGCGGTAGCGACACATGGTGGTGATACTTCAAGTGTAGTCAACTCCGGCTGTTGGATCGGGGGTGATAATGAGCGGCGCGAGCACTGGACTTTGGAGAGTTCAACTCAGCCATCAACTTACTGGCTGCTGCGCATGTGGGGACATCAGTTGCAAGGGACTGCACATGCAGGCAGATGTGTTTCCAACTGCCTATATGAGTCGGAGTTCAGTCAACCAACCATACACACACGTGTTTCTTCCATGATTGGGCGGAGCCCCCGTGCCGTTCTTTCGCTCGTATTCCTTGTTCCACACCCAACGCCAAGCTGCTCCCTGTTACCTGGGGTTGTACTGCTGTTTAGCTACAGGACACAAAGGTAAAACACCAGCAGCGTCAAACACCAGCGAACCTCAGGAATACACCTGCCAGTGTTTCTTGCTCCCGGCTTTTATTCTGTGCAAGGTGAGAACGACGACAAGCTTATCTGTCCGCCGACTTACTTTCTTCCTTTCTTCTGGCTTGTATGCTGCCCCCTGTGACGGTAGCGCTACATAGGTTACCCACGTTTGCGGATAATCGCAGCTCACAGTGCACCACCTCAGAATGCAACAATTGTCAATTTTGGATGTCTGTGCGTCCGAGGGCTCAGCTCCAAAGCGAATTCCGCCGCTCATGTGTTTCCCCAGAATGTCAGACTTCAAAAGAACACTTCAACCTGCGTACACGCCGTTGCTCCAGAACTCGCTTTTCGCGAAGTACTTATCCCACGTCGGTGCAACAAGTGTACTATTTCGCCTGTATCTTCAAGTGTGCGTATTTTCCAAAAGTGAAAGCACTGGGGGAGCAGAGCGGTATCAAATGTCTTGGTCATTTGCACCGCTACCATTTTGTGCGGCGTTGGCAGCAAGCCAAAATATGAGCTTTTGTATGTACTTTTGACACGTAATCGGCAGCGATTCGTCCACCGATGTATGTAGGCAGCATCCCGTCGTGGTCGCCCGTTGTTGCGTTGGTACGGCGACAGCGCTAAGGTACAGGTATCCAAGGGCTTTTGTCACTCAGACGCGGCTTCGCTGGTAGATTTCCCAGCCCTTGGCACACAACGCGCGCGTCTGTCAACAGCAGCACATTCGGGTGACGTTTTGCAACCGACATACCATGGTACATACCATGGTACATAGCAACGGTCATCGCAGGACAGATGTTGTGCATTCCGTTTAGTAAAGACTGAAGTATCCATCTACTGGCTGTACGTTTTTGCATACCTCCCGCTGTGGGTGTATACTACCATCGCAGGACAGGATGCTGAGCATTCCGTCAAGAAAAACTGAAAAGTTCATCGACGTTTGTGCGAACGGACCGCTGTGTACTAAATGCTACCACCACCGCAGGGTAGGACAGGATGCTGAGCATTCCGTTCAAGAAGACAGATGAAGCCATCGACCTCGGAGGGCCGCTGCGGCGGTATCTCATGAAGGAGTTCTCCAAGGTACGCATGGATTGGCGGAGTCCTGTCCACTCCTATCATATCATACCCGTTCCCCAAGTACTCGGTGGGATTAAAGCCGACACGATGGAAGGTATGCTACAGCTATAGATAGTCTGAACTGCAGCACCAGTTTTTTTTTGCTCTTGGAAAGTGAAAGTTAATTTCATTCACGTTGCGGCTCTCCTCCCGTGTACCGCTGCAACGAAGTCCGTCACACACACCGTTGTTTGAAAGAGCCCCGGATGCGGTGTTTGTGAGACCTCGTTCCATCCCGTTGTTCGCACAACCCTCCCTCCAATTGGCTCACAACTTGCACGTCACCGTAACTCCCGTTTTGTGACATCCCACGGCACCCCCTCTCGCCCCCACCACGCACCAGGAGGAAGTAGAGAAGTACTCTGAGGACCTCAAGGAGCTACAAGACGTCCGTAGCACGGCGACGCAGATCGAGCGCCCTTCCGATGCTGGCCGCGAGGCTCTCCTGCGCTACGCCGCCCAGCTGGAAGCGCTGGAACCGGTCTTTCCTGTCTCGGAGACTGATGTGTGTGATTGCCGCCGTTGCTGTTACGCTGCTGTCGCTCGTGTTGGTTGTGATCACTCTTGTCGCGTCAGGCGACGGGTGACATGTACTGCAGGTGTCGTCGCTGTCGTGTCCGGTGTTGAATCGGTTTGCTGCTGGCTCGCAACTCTTGTCTGCACGTTGTGGCCGGTCGGTTGGTTGTAGGTTGCCAGGGCTCGCGCTATTCGACAGTCACACCAACTTAAACCCGCATCCTGTCTTCCACTACCCCACAATCTCTTTCTCAAGGTGCGGGTGGGGTTCAAGTGGGGCAACTCGTTCAATCCCAACAAGAAGAGCACCCAGAGCACGTTCCTCTTCGAGAAGGCGTGCATCCTGTACAACCTAGGTGCCCACGAGAGCAGGAGTGCCAGTGAGGAGGACCGCGAGACGGAGGCGGTGAGGGCCGGTTTATTCACGAGCCAATTGCTTACAACAACCAAATTTCCAAATTCCGGCTCTTTAGATGTCGAGTCGATTTTTGTTCCGAAAACCTTGGGGACCCAATCGTGCCAAAAAAAAAAAAAATCGTGCCAGTCGTTTTTCCTAATTTCCAAGTTTTTGCCATAAATATTTCCTCGGCCACAAGTCGAGGTTCTACGGTCTACGCGTTTGAAATATTCGAAATTCGGAAGCAAAATAGCCGCTGTATTTGTTACAAAGGCCCTAAAGTCTGGCTAGTGGAGGTGAGGGGGGGAGTTGCGCCCCTTGTCACGGAGCGCCGAGTCCTTTCTCACCACTCTTCAGTGGTGCAATACCATATACCACTACAGTAGAGGGCACTATTCCGTGTAACGATACCACATACTACCGTAGAGGCCAATCGTCCGAGGTTCAAAACCATATACCACTACAGTAGAGGCCACTCTTCCGTGGTACAATACCGTATACCACTAACTACAGTAGAGGTCCCTGTTCAGCGGTTGTGCCGGCTGAATGTCTGAGCACGAGTGTCCACTCCTATTCTAACACCTACGTATCCCTGTTCTGAATGGTGCTGTCAGTTGCGCAGCACGTATTCTTACCCTCTACTTCCGGATCAATCACCGACGCAGACGAGAGGAGGGTATACGGATGGCTGCATGTCCGGTATCCCTTTTGGCAGGGTTCAAGCAAGCTCTCGGGACTAATTCTTTGTTCTTGCTCCACTTTTTGGTTGCACCTCTTGCTTCTTGCCTGCTGCTTCTGCTGCCGCACAGAACGATAGGTTTCCGCCATTTCACCACACTAAGTAGCTCTACTGCTATTGCTGTATGAAAACGAGACTCTCCACGACAGGCGTGACACCAGGCTTGCCTTTCAACGCATTCGAACACCACCTTGCCACGTGACACACCCTCTCTCTCGCGCGCGGGCGCTCTCTCTACCTCTTTCTCTACCTCTCTCTCGCTCTCTCTCACACACACTGCTGTTTCTCTCTTTCTCACTCACTCATTCTTTCTCTCTGTCGCTCTCTCTCCCTTGTCTATCTGTCTGTCTGCCTGTCTCTTTCTCTCTCTCTTTCTCTCTCTTTCTCTCTCTCTTTCTCTCTCTTTCCTCCGCCTCTCTCGCCCCCCTCACTCCGCTCTTGGTGCTTACCTGGGCACGTTGAACAACAACAGGGCCTCAAGGCAGCGGGCCACCGTTTTCAGGTGTCCGCGGGCATCTTCCAGCACGTCCGTGACAAGGTGGTCGGAGGGCTAGTGGGGACTCTGACACAAGATCTCATCCCAGACGGCCTTAGCGCCGCGTCCACCCTTATGCTTGCCCAGGTGCGCCCATCACCGTTCTTTGCCGGTGGGGGTGGTTTCTGGCGTGATTCGATTGGGCGAGGCGAAAATTTCTGCTGCGTTAAAACCCTCACGCCGGTGGCTCGTTCGGCTTCGCATGTGGCATTCTTGAATCCGTTTGGATGGGTGTTTTGAGATTTTTTCGTATCGTAGTTCGATCAAACGGCAGCAGTCGGTGTTCTTTCACGTGTCTAGTTGTTGCTGAGGCCGGAAGGCACACTGTTTCCCCGTCAAGTCTACTAAGGCACACGTTCACAAAATTCGACATGTATCAAATCATTCTGGTAAGAATTGCAGCCACTCTTGCCTGTTGCCTTGACCACACAAACACGAACGAACAGGCCCAAGCGTGCTTCTACGAGAAGGCGGTGAAAGACCGTGCCAGGACGATGCTAAAGCCGGGTATCATCGCCAAGCTCGCAGCGAAGGCGGCGGAGGTGGGCATGGCCTCTTCACTTGGGGATCGATTAATTTTCTTATTTCCTTATGAAAACGCAACACATATAAATGCAGAAATGGGTCCCAGTATAATGCCGGTGCGATCCGGCCGATGTCTCCGGCATCATTGCAGGCAGCCGGCATCATTCAGAGTATGAAACATTCAATCTGTGCCAAACGATTACACTGGCATTGTACAGGGCAACCGGCATTATACCGGGACCACTTCTGTGTTGTGTTTTGGGAAACCAAGTGATCTCTTCCACGGGTAGGATTTATTTGCATTTGCGGGCCGATTTGGGTTGGTGGATTCCTTGCCTGGGCTGGCGTTCAGTTTTTGCTTATATTGTGTTTGTTTCTGTCTCTACGTTAGGCGCTCTCAGCTCAGCTGGCAGGCGAGAGAGCAGAGTGGGCGTGCATGAATGGGATGGATAGAATGGGCTTCTTGTGTGCTGTATTCTGGATTGATTTGATTGGCTGATAGAGAGGGAGAGAGGGGAAACGTCCCTCGCCAAGGCCGCAGCTTGAACGCGACGAGACTGTTTGCTATCTTGTGTAGTCGTCGGTGTGGGTGGTTTCGCCTGTGATTCGCCTCAGCGGTATCTTCTGCACCTGTCGTCTTTATTTTCTTTGAATTGTCGGGAAAACGATAGGTAACGTTCACCTCGAATCGAATCGCTTGGCGATTTGCATCCAGTCGCACCACAGGCGTTGGTTCAACGTGCCTGACGGCTATGCCGACACCACACCGCCTTCCTCTCTCCCTCTCCCTCCCTGTGGTGTTGCTGCTGCAGTTGTACACCCAGACGCTTGCATGCATGCAGGGGCCGAACCTCGCACCGGGACTGGACAACTCGTGGCCAGCGCATGTGGAGTTCCAATCGATGCAGTTCTCCGCTGCGGCCAGCTATTGGGAGGTGCGTTTGCGGTTTCACTGCTGTTACCCGTCGGGGCTACGCGTATTTCGCCGTTAACGATCGAGAGAGAAGCAGAGAAAGAGCCAGACAGACAGACAGACAGACAGACAGACAGACGGACAGAGCGATACACCTGGCATACCCCACACCGCGATCATTCGAGGTTTACAACATGCGGTGGGTGCTGCCAGTACCGACCACTCTCTTGGGTGTGAATGCCTTGCATAAAGGGTTGGTTGGTTGCACTTTGCTCTGCTCGCCGATGTTTCCACCCCTTGCTCCGTTCAAAAAGTTCGAGGTCAGGTCCATTGAAAATTGACCTCGCTCTCCGCTACAGCTACCCTGTGGTCTCATTTGTCGGCGCTTTCCGTTGGAACGCTCTGTCTACATGAATGTTTGTACCTTAGCGAACGCGAAGTCCCGACGAGTGGCGTACAGTAGCCTCTCGAAGAGACGCGTGCGGTATCCGCAGCGTTCAAGTACTCAAGTACCAACGTAGGACGGAACGATTGGCCATCGGTGATCGGTCCTGTGTGGAAGCAATGCGACGTCAACGGTCGACAGCTACGGCATGCAAAA